GCCCCCAATCCATCAACAAATGCAACAATTTACCCAATCCATATTCGGTGTTTAGACTAAATTTGGCCAAAGCAAATCGCCATTCGTGGAACAGACTGGCCACCACATCATCTTAGGCCAACACCGCAAGGCCAGATGGTCATGGCTGACGCGACGAATCATAACACACCCAAGACATCTATCGATTTTTTCTATACGTTTAAATTTTACGGCGGAACTCTGTGCACACACAAACTGTTTCTGCTACTGTTCTGTGAGTATGTCTCTGAAGATGAATCCGTGACGGATATCGAAACGTCAGGCAAATAAACATAGTGTCCCAGCGATCGAGTTGTCTTCTACTTCTCAAAGAAATAATGCCTCATTTTGCAACCCGAACCGACGAAGAAAGCCAGTAGTCATCAATCTACGGGGCAGCTGAGAAAACTTGCGGATTCACTCAGCGACGTCGTGGTCACTGAATCCGTAGACGAATCTTGAAGTGAGATGTTCAGACGGCTTGAGCCAGGTTCCACTACTATTATGTCTTCTGCCAAATTTGCAAAATGATGGCAAAGTCAGCTAGGGACGGCCGAGAGAAATACTGGGCCAAAATAGCGACGTCCGTGGAGCAGGCCTTAAACGTTCGCGATAGTCAAAAAATGCCAACAAATTACCCAGCAAGTTAGTTGTAAGCCCTCTCTACCGAGTGGTTCTGTTCACGACGTCAATGGCGACTCTATTGCTCTGGCCTTCTAGGACCTAGTTGATTCGTCACGTTGCTTTGCAGCCTCGCCTAGAGGTATCACTGTCAGGTTGTTTTGCAGTAAGACCTTATGTGGGAGAGGGGAGAGCTGTAGGAGTTGACAGAGGGAAAATGGCTAGAAGTGTGTAATTCCTTAACACTGAACTGCAGCCCTCGTTGCTACACCAAGCACAACGACTACGGTGAAGCTGGATAGTGCTGACAAGGAGAGGAATCTCCCCAGGATCCGCCCGGTAGGGTACTGCAGCCCCAACAAGTCATGATACTCAGTGGATCCAAAAGCCTATTTAGTCGCATTTAGTGAGTCTTGGAAGAAACAGTGGAGCCGATCTGCAGTGTCAAAGTCATTCCCTAACAATTTTCACCAGCCTCGCCTAAGCGCAACCTGCAGACCAAGATGATTTCCCCCCGCATTTGTCCGGTGGGGTGCTG